TCTCCCCCAGGGCCCGCCACAGCGCCTGCGGCCCGTCTCCTCCCCTTCTCCCCGCAATCCCTCTGGCCTCCAGCCAGGGCCCTGCTCCGCGGCTCGCGCTCACCGGCAGCTTCAGTTCCCGTAACGGTTCCTCCCGCCACCCTGCTGCTCCCGCGGATACGTCAAGCCGCTAGAACTTTCTTCCACTTCCGCTTCCGGGTCGCCTCAGCCGCCTTTTTAAAAAAAACCTTCCACGTTGGGCCCTTCTAGCCAGTTAGAGCTATAGAGTTGAGGCGCCACGGACCTCGACGGCGTCCTTAGTAGGCGCTCCCTTCCGGTTCTTCGCGGGAAGCCCTGTCTTCTAAGATCTCGCTCCTCGAGCAGTTCTGAGGGAGCGAGGCCTACAGGGAGAGAACTTCCTTTCTGTGCTGCCCGGACCCGGAACTCAAGGACTTACGCTTGACCGACCTGGCGTAGGGAAGAGTTAGAAGACGGACAAGGGAGGGGACGGGTGGCCGGGAGGCCTCTGAGACAGCGCCGGAAGACGGTTTTCGGAGGGATCCGACTCAGACTCACGTCGCACTCCTCGCAGTGGGACTAGTGGGAACTGGGAACGCTGGAGACCTGATTTCGAGGTGACGCTACCGTCGCGGCCGCCGGCAAGTTCCTTTACTGTGTTTTCTTGGCTCAGCCTTGAAGTGAGTCGTGGACGATCCTCTCTCAGCGTCCAGCCTGGACAGCGGGGTTGCTCCGGCAGCATCCCTGGGAGCCCAGGGCCAGAGACTGAGTGTGGGTGTTTCTCTGAGGGTCTTTTCTCCGGGATAGACAGGGAGGAGGAAGGAGAACGGCAACTAGAGATGACAGTGTTTCCTTCGGAAACCATCAGTCTTAAGGGTACTGGCCCTCGTCTTCTAAGTACGCAAGTCAGAAAAATGCAGATGTCGCAGACAAGCCTGCTCACCTCAACCTTTAATTAACTAGTTCCTGGCTTGGACCATCACGGTGGCCACCTAATTTGTCTCCGGCTGTAGTGTGTTGCCAGACTGAACTTCTCTGTTGTGTGACTATGCCAGACTTGGGGTGTACAAGCGTGTTGAGAAAGATACGGTTTATTTCAGACTCCTTCCAGAGAGATTGCCAGGATGATTTCTCTGGAACTTTCCTGTAGTTTTACATTACACCAGTACTTAAGATTGTAGGAGTTACTTTTTTTTTTTTTTTTTTTTGAGACGGAGTCTCGCTCTGTTGCCCAGGCTGGAGTGCAGTGGCGCGATCTCGGCTCACTCTAAGCTCCGCCTCCCGGGTTCACGCCATTCTCCTGCCTCAGCCTCCCGAGTAGCTGGCGCCCGCCACCACGCCCGGCTAATTTTTTTATTTTTAGTGGAGACGAGGTTTCACCGTGTTAGGATGGTCTGGATCTCTTGACCTCGTGATTCGCCCGCCTCGGCCTCCCAAAGTGCTGGGATTACAGGCGTGAGCCACAGCTCCCTGCCGGAGTTACTTTTACATGACGTGCACTGTTGTCCCATTCTGTAACCGTGCTGAGTTAGCTGTTATTTTTCTGGGACCTAGAGAAGTTGAATAGTTAGGAAATAAATGAGGGTAGGATTTGAATCCAGGCAGTTAGACTTCAGAGCCCATGTTCTTAACCAAGACACCGTGTCACCCCTCAGTAAAAGGCCCCTCCCCATCTTCAGAACAGTCCTGGGTTCTGAGCCTGCCATCCAAGGAACTCAGGAGGAGGAGTTGACAGTCTCTTCGTTCCTAACCGCCCTGGGACAACTTCAGCATGTCTCAGGCCACCAAGAGGAAGCATGTGGTGAAGGAGGTGCTGGGGGAGCACATCGTGCCCTCCGACCAGCAGCAGATTGTCAGGGTGAGTGGCTTTGGGCACAAGCTGCTCTGCTCCCCACCCCTCCGGCCCTGGAGGGCCCCTGGGGTGGTGGCAGGGTGCGCGTGGCTGAGAGAGTGTTTGACCGATGAGACTGATTCTTGGTCTCTCCTGAACCAGGTACTCAGGACCCCAGGGAACAATCTGCATGAGGTGGAGACAGCCCAAGGGCAGCGCTTCCTGGTGAGCATGCCCTCTAAATACCGCAAGAACATCTGGATCAAGAGAGGTGAGAGGATCACTCCTGTATTCCCAGCACTTTGAGGGGCTGAGGTGGGAGGATCACTTGAGACCATCCTGGGCAGCATAATGAGACCTTGTCTCTACAAAAAGTAAAAAATTAGTTGGGCACGTGCCTGTGATCCCAGCTATTCGGGAGGCTGAGGCCTGAGAATCACTTGAGCCTGGGAGGTGGAGGCTGCAGTCAGCTATGATCATGCTATTGCATTCCAGCCTGGGCAACAGAGCAAGACCCTGTCTCAAAAAAAAAAAAGAAAAAAAGAGAGACAGGGAGGTGAGAGAGGCAGCCCTCTCTAGGAGATAGAACCACTTCCTATGGCTTTAGCTTTCCTTATTGCAGGCAGGCCTGACTTTGCCTTTTCTCTTCTTACCTACAGGAGACTTTCTCATTGTTGACCCCATTGAAGAGGGAGAAAAGGTGAAGGCTGAGATCTCGTTTGTGCTCTGCAAGGACCACGTGCGCTCCCTGCAGAAGGAGGGCTTTTGGTAGGTGGTCCCCTTGATCACTGACTCTCTGGCTTCTGAAGGCATTGCCTTCCTAGCTTGGGAATTAGGGGAGGGAAGGTCATGGCATCCCAGGCAGAGACAGCTGGAAACAGCTCTTTTGTGAGAAAGTGATTTGTCCTCCCTGACTTTGCTTATCTCTTGGCATAGGCCTGAGGCCTTCTCTGAAGTGGCTGAGAAACACAACAACAGGAACAGGTGAGGAACAAGCCTTGCGGTGGGACACATGGAAAATAAGGGGTTCATGCTTTGGTGCCTTGAGGGAAAAATAGAGCCTTTTTTCCTCCTTACATAGGGTATCTGTTGAGAGCTCCTACGTATGTGGTACATAGTTATGAATGTGGCTTGAAGGTCAGATTCTCTGGGTTAAAATCCTGGCTTTGCCACTTAAAGCTGAATGACTTTAAGCACGTCATTTAATTCCTTCAAACTCTATTTTCCTTATATATAAAATGGGAGCATTGTGAGGATTAAAGAAGTGGATGGCTTGTAAAATTGCTTAGTGCAGCATCTGGTGTGTGATGCGGGTTCATTAAGCATTAGTTGGTGGTCGTAGAATCATTATTCCTGACTGAAACAAATGGCTGTAGCACATGCTTGGGGAGTGGGGTCAGTCTTTAGCCTGTTTCTCTAGCCAAGTTTCCCCACTGTTTGCTCTGCCTCTGTCCCTTGTTTTAGTCTTTAAAGGGTGCTGTAGGGCCCTGACTGCTGGGCCGGATGGTCCTCCTTTTTTTGGAACTCCTTGATTGTAGATCTGGTTTTCTCAGAAGGTGCTGGGCTAACTCTGCTCTCTTCCCTTCGTGCAGACAAACTCAACCAGAACTCCCAGCTGAGCCACAGTTATCAGGAGAGGAGTCCAGCTCAGAAGATGATTCTGACCTGTTTGTTAACACAAACCGCAGACAGTATCATGAGAGTGAGGAGGAGAGCGAAGAGGAGGAGGCCGCCTGAGACTCCAGGACCCACTTTTCCACTTGCTCAGGGATGGGCCCCTGACTCTTCTGGGCTTGGACATTCCCAGGGTGCTTTGCAGATCTTCACCCCTGGATGGGGACAAAGCAGGGCCCCTCTCTGAACTGATGTTTTGATTAGGAGAATTAAACCCCTGGTGGGTTGGTGACTTGTTCTGGTGTCTGAGTGGCTCTCTCGGGGGACGGAGACTTGTGGTGAGGTGAAGAACTGCTCCCTGGTAAAGGGAGCTTGTGACTGGGTGGGCTGAATGGGAAGGAAATGGGAAATGGCTGGAGTCTTTCCCCGGTTGTTTGTTCTTTCTTACTGGGCACCTAGAAAGTGCCAGGCCCTGCGCTGGGCCTCCTTGCATGTGTGTAACAGCTGGGAGCACTCCTGCTTCCTTGCCTGCTTGCAGTTCATACCGATTCAAGCATTCAGGATGACAGCCCTAGGACCTAACACCCACCTGCCTCTAAGAGACGCTCAGGAGCCCATGGTGCCTCATGCTGTTCTCCCCGCCTTTCTAGTCACCCTGCGTACGGGAGTGCTCACCTCCAGCTACTGTGTCCATCCCCACATGCCATCCCGTCTCTCCCACCACTCTTCACCATCCATCAGCTCCAGAAGGTGGCTGGCAAATCTCTCTGTCCTTACCTTTGTTTTGAATGGTCCGGCCATCTGACTTTAATTGAAACCTGAGTATTCCCTGAGGACATTGATTGTCTTGTAACCTTTTAAATGGAGGCTGCTTTTCCACCCTGACCCTTCATCCTTCTAACCAGCCCTGACATTCTCATGATTAACTTTCTGTCTTCACTTCCCTCTTGCATAGCATCAGTTCCATGGTCCACCCTACACCCCCATGTCCCTCCATTCTGTTCAGCTAGTAAAACCCTAACCCTGGGTAAACCCAGTCATTCAACTCTGCCCAAACCCAAGTCACCGTCATTAGGTGAGAAAACAGCCAGCCTGGCCAGCCGTTGTACCTTAAGTTTATCGTTACAAACCTCAGATGGACACTAAGCACTGCCCAGTGGATCTACTCTGGGATGTCTATTTCAAAACTTCTCTTATCTATCAATTCCCCCTTCTTGTGGTAGTTACCACAACCCATGCCTCATTAAGAAATAGCAGCTATCAGAGGGAACACCTGCCTCCCCGTTACCAACTCTGCAGATGTGCTCACGTACCTTCCCGTTGTAAGCCAGTGGGACTTAAACCTTACCTCTTGTGCTTCGAAGCCCTTTTTTTTTTTTTTTTTTTTTTTTTTTGAGACAGATTCTACCTGTGTTGCTCAGGCTGGAGTGCAGTGGTGTAGTCTCTGCTCACTGTAACCTTCACCTACCGGGTTCAAGTAATTCTCCTGCCTCAGCCTCCCAAGTTGCTTGGACTACAGGCGTGCACCACCACACCTGGCTAACTTTTTCTATTTTTAGGAGAGATGGGGTTTTGCCATGTTGCCCAGGCTGGTCTCGAACTCCTGACCTTAAGTGAACCTCCTGCTTCAGCCTCCCAAACTGCTGGGATTACAGGTGCGTGCCACCATGCCTGGCTAATTTTTGTATTTTCAATAGAGACAAGGTTTTGCCGTGTTGGCCAGGCTGGTCTCGAACTCCTGACCTCAAGTGGTCTCCCCACCTCGGCCTCCTAGAGTGCTGAAATTACAGGTGTGAGCCACTGTGCCCGACCTCTTTTGCTTTCTTAAAGACTTTGGTCGGGTATATGTGTTGTTCGGTTTTGTTCTGTTTGGGTTTGGGTGTTTGATTCTTTTGTTTTTTTGTTTTGTGTTTTTGGCCGTCCTGTCTACTGGATATGATGTGTTAGTGCCAAGCGTGCTGTAGAATCTCCCATTTCAGAAACAGGCGTGAAAACCTGTACTGATTCCCACGTCTTCCAGCTATCACTTCATTTATCTGTTTCTCATTTGCTTCCTCTTATAGTGTGGCTTTAAACATATATACATCTGTATATATGTATGTATGAATATACATATATAAAATATATAGATGTATATACCAAAAATAGATGATATGGGTTAAAGATATGTATGTGTGTGTATCTATAATTCATCTGAAGTTGTTTTTCTGAGAGGTAGCAAACTTCTCCTAAAGGGAAAGTCACTTGTCCCTATACTATTTCTTGGACGCTTCATTCTTTGCTCACTGGAAATAACTTTTTTTTTTTTTTTTTTTGAGATGGAGTCTCGCTCTGTCACCCAGGCTGGAGTGCAGTGGCACAATCTCGGCTCACTGCAAGCTCCGCCTCCCAGGTTCACGCCATTCTCCTGCCTCAGCCACCCAAGTAGCTGGGACTACAGGCGCCCACCACCACGCCTGGCTAATTTTTTGTATTTTTTTAGTAGAGACAGAGTTTCACTGTGTTAACCAGGATGGTCTTGATCTCCTGACATCGTGATCCGCCCGCCTCGGCCTCCCAAAGTGCTGGGATAACAGGCGTGAATCAGCATGCCAGTCCCTGTTTTTTATTTTATTTTTAAATAAATATTGTAGAAAAATTAACAGTTTTTCATCTTCCTATCCAGAAATGAGGTATGTTCTTTGGGAAGGTGGTGTGGTCTTCACATGGGCTTTTACTTCCAATTTGATTTAGTCTTAGGAGTTTTATGAAAGTCCTAGTTACTGGTAGTGAAGGATCTGCAGAAATCACCTTTGCCCATCCCTGGCATCCACCTGTGTGTCCATCTTTGTGTTGCCCACCTTGTCGAATGCGCAGTTCTTCAGTTGATCTTGTGGCTTTCTAGATAGCCAAATTGTATCCCACTAATGGCAGTTTCATCTCCTCCTTTACACTCATGTCTATTTCTTGTGACTTCCAGAGGCCAGGACCTCCAGTGTGATGTTGCATGGCACCCTTGATTGCCCCTTTCTCAGTGGGAATGGTTTTCACGTTGCGTCCTGAGGTAGGACGCTTGCTCTGGGCTTCCAGTAGATGATCTTCATTAGGCTGAAGATGTTTTCTTCTGTTCTAGCTTATTGGGTTTTTTCTTTTTTTTCCCCTTCCCTTTTGTTTAACAGTGATGAATGTTGACATCTATGGAGAAAATAAGATTTTATTGTGTGATTGTACTGAGTTACAGTAATAGGTTTCCTAATGTTGAACACACCTTGCATTCTGATATAAACCTTGCTTAGTTTTACAGTATATTACTTATTTACTTACGAGTTTTGTCTCTGTCCCTGTGCCAGTCCCCTCCCTTGTTTTAAAAAATGACCTTCCTGTTCTATTTCGATATTAGCTTTATGCTAGCCTTGCAAATGGGTTTGGAGGCGTCTTTTTCTTCAGGCTTGAATTGTTTATAGACCAGGTATTTGTTTCTTTATCATTTTGTAGAACTTGTTTACAAAAACATCTGTGCTGGATACTTTTTTCACGGGTTGATCTTTGCCTTTTAGTTTATTCAGTTGTGTTCTGTCTACAGTTTTCTATCCTTGAGTCAATTTTGATAATTCATATCATTCTAGGATCATATTTCATATATATTTAAACTTTTTGGGCAAAAGGTCTTGCATAATATTTGTATTATTTGGAAGTTTCTTTTTTTGTTTGTTGTTGTTTTGTTTTTGAGGCAGAGTATCGCCATGTTGTCCAGGCTGGAGTGCAGTGGTGTAGTATTGGCTCACTGCAACCTCCATGTTCCGGGTTCAAGTGATTCTCCTGTCTCCGCCTCCCAAGTAGCTGGGATTACAGGCGCTCACCACCATGCCCGGCTAATTTTTGTATTTTTAGTAGAGATGGGGTTTCGCCATGTTGACCAGGCTGGTCTCGAACTCCTGACCTCAGGTGATTGGCCCCCCTTGGCCTCCCAAAGTGCTGGGATTACAGGTGTGAGGCACCATGCCTGGCCTATATGGAACTTTCTTATGAATGACAAAATTGAACTCAAATTAGAAGTAAACAAGGCTTGTTGACCTGAGGTCTCTGAGTGGCACGCTTCGGACAGGGTAAGCCAATGCCAGCAGCACGATTCCTCAGGCTCTCTCATTTATCTCTGTCATCTCTGCTCCCAGCTGATCAATGTCTTTCCCTCCTACAGACGTTTTCTGTAGGAAGCTTGAGTGTATACACAGAGCCCCTTCTTGAGGATCCCTGTATTTCAGTGAAGAGCAGTGGGTCTTCCTCAGGTCACTTGTTGTGCTGAAGCAGTCACTGCAGCCAGGGCTGGGGGTAGGAAGGTGTGGAGGACTGGGGTGGGGCAGGATGAGCCACAAGTAATTCTTATATGTTTCCCATGGAATAGAGAGGTTCTCTTACCAGAAAAAGTGGGGCAAGGGGTGAGGGCAGGTGAAATCAAGAAACACATGTTTATATTGTGTATTTTATTTGGCTAGCTTTGCAAGAGGTCTTCCTTACTGGCCTTTGCCTTCGTTTCGTTGGGTTTATTTGCTCATTTTGGATTCTTGAGATGTGGGCTTAGCTAATTTAATTTCAATTTGTTTTCTAATATATTCAGGGCTATACGTTTTCCTCTAAATAGTCCTTTGTTGCCCACTTTGTGTGTGTGTTTTTTTTTTGGCCTTGTATCTGTAAGCTTGGTCTTATGTTTTTCTTCAGCTCTCTCAGTGATACTGTGATCTACCTAGTAACATCTTTCTTTTCCCCCTAAAACCTTTTTGTTTCCACTTCTTCATCTCTTACCAGCCATTCAGCTTCTATGGGCTGTAACTAAGGGTCCTGATGGAGGTAGGGTCCTTGTATTCTGCACGATACTTTCCTATGTCATTCTCTGAAGCTGAATTCCACCTCTGTTCTCCCAACTGAATGGTGGGATCCAACCATGTATGAATAGATCTCCCAGAGGGAGCTGAGATCTGACGTTAAGAGCTCCTTGTCCTGATGTCATGGCCGGTCCCTGTGACTGGCTGCCTAATAGTACTTACTGGCTTCTCTTGCAGTTATGCTTGAGACTTTGTGGCCCTTCAGACTCTGCACCTCTGTCACTTCAGGACTAACTTCTACAGCCAGGTCATTTCCACCACGGCTTCCCCGTGTGGCCGAGTGCACTTTCCTCCCTTGCCACCCAGCCACCCCTGTGTGTGTGCCAAGGAGCACAGATGGCAATCTGAGCTCACCACATGGTTTTCCTCCTCTAATCTGTAAATGTGGTGGAATATCATAAATTTCTCACGTTAAAATATCCTTGCATTCCTGGAAGA